AACAAATACAATATATATATATATAACACAGAAGTCATATTTGTATTTTTCGATGGTAATAAATCAGAGTAACTGTGACTGAAATCAAATTTAATCTAAATAATAACAAAAACAAATTAATTAATAATATTACTTAAAAAAAATTATTTTATGAATAAAAACAAACTGAAATAAGTCACTGAAAAATCTGCAAGTCAAAATTATGTATCCCGCCAAATCCATCTTATCTTAAACAAAAATTTAAAATAAATTTAAAGAACTGAAATTAAATTTTCTTAACAGAATTATGAGTTCAAACACAGAAGCATTATTTAAAGAGATGATTGATAAAAGTAGCAGGTGCAGAGTAAAAGATATAAAAGATGGTTTTCGAGCATGATAAATGGCATATTAATAAAATATGATTTCAGATAATCTTTAACAATAAATGCATTTAAATTAAGTTTAATTAATGAAATTAAACTCATTTTAAGTATTTAAAACAGAATTAGTTCATAATTTTATGAATTCTAATTTTATCTGATTTTTAGAAATTATTAAAATTATTCCCAGTAAAACTGCAATAATTTTGCCAAAAAAATAAAGTAATTAAAATCAAAGTAATGTAAAGTATTTACATATAAAGTAATTCCTTTAAAAAATTTAGTTATTTATAATTAACATATTAATAATTATTTAAATAACTTTATTTACATTTTTTAATTTTTCTAAAATATCGCAAATGCTTAACTTTAAATGTCGCAAATGCTTAATACATGAAAGTATAGAATTTCTTTTGCGAACAGAGTGTAAATAATGATATGTTTTGTTAGCTGAGAATGGCGACTATGTATCCATTCTAAGGACTTCTGAAATATTAGCAACACACACTTTCCCTGAGATACACACACTCCCTTATACCAAGGCTGTAAAGTGGGGACTTAAGACAAAAAAATTTTTCAACAATAATTATTGATAAAAACGAGTTAAAACTAATAAGAAATGTAAATGGTATTGTTTATCAAAGATTAGGGTGAAAGAAAGCCCATCTCCATGTGAATTATTTACACTTTACGGATTTTTAGACAAATTTCAAACCAGAGACATCCCCGGTTTGCAATATGTTCATGTTTTAAGGTGAAAATAGATGCGAGTCCTCAGTTTACGTGTTCCACACACACATACATATAGATTACTAAATAAATATTTAATAAAGAAGTTTTGTTGCATTTTAAAACATTTATTAATTTTGTTATGACACGCTTTTTTTATTATGCTTTTAAATTATTTAAAAAGTATGAAAAGACAAATATATTTATATTGGAAATGTTACTATAATTATTTTGATAAAGTAACATACGTAAAATTGTTAAGAATTTGCATAAAAACAAATTCAAGAAACTACTTTTAAGTTTTAATTAAATTGAATATTTTTCTTATACAATATAAAAATCTTAAATAAGTTGTGTATTTTACGAATGTAATTATGTTAACCTGCAATCCATTGTTTATTTTTTCTTCTTCGTATAGTTAATACTGAGTGAAACATATTACACTTAACAATAACAATAGGAAATCTGAAATTATATTTTGCTAATGTATACTGGAATTATTTAACAAGAGAGATAATTATTAGAAATAATTCATTTAACCAAGGCCCATGAGTAAAATTGTACAGAAATTTTCCTATTTAATAACAGGGAGGAACTGATTTTTTGATGCAATAAAACCTGCGTCTAAATGTTCGAAAAAAGCTTGTACTAACGCTCAGAGGGTTAAAAATTTGATTAATAAATGTTGGATTTGATTAATAAATGTTGGACATTTTAACAACTTCAAACTTGATTAATAAATGTCGGACATTTTAACAACATGCACAAAAAAAGAAAGTTTTGTAACGTTAAGAAGAATTTATTAGCTTTTTAGGCAAATTTATGTAGCCATATGGCACAAAAACTTATAAATCATTCGAAGATCATGGTTTCATTCAATGTTACAAGCATAAAATGTGGTCCACTATTACATTGCATTTCACTATTAAATTATATTTCAGTCAACAATATGAGAGCTTCCTTTTGCCGTGGCCATTTTTTATTGCATGGCCAGTCTGTCTCTAGTTCAAACTATCCACTGCCTTTGTCCAATTTTGTTAACGTTAACGAAAAGTTATGAAATATTGCCATGATTTAAAAATTTACTTGCAAGAAACTAACAATTATATAACCTTTAACAAATACAATGCATAAACATTCTATATATTAGAACAATATTTACCTCAGAAATAAACATAGTTTTGAAAATCTTGTTATCCATGCTGCAACTAAAAAGAGAGAAATGGTTTTTTAATTCCATGAATGAAAAAAAGAAAAAGAGAGAAATAAAAAGACAGTGCAGACAGGGGTGGATCTAACACATTTAGGGCTCAGCTCCGGGCAAGATTTAATTTTGGTGCCGCTATTCTGAGCATGCAGTACATACACATACACTTCAGAATAACCTAAATGCTTGTACAAAACGTATAGTACATTTTATATGTCATGCTCAAGTCTATTTTGAGAAATACAATTTAAATTTATGATTAAGATTATTTCTGAAAGTCATTATATATTATAAATAAAAGTATAAAAGCAGTTTAACCACTCTGCATTATATATTTTTGAATGTGCTTATAATTAGAAAAATACTTAAAATAATTTAATATCAAAGTACAAATAGCAAAAATGCAAAAAGGGGAATTCAAAAATTTTTCAAACTGAAATAATTTTTAAAATTAGGTTTTATTAAAATTTTTATTATTTTTTATGCTTAAACCGTTTTTGCTTAATAAATTTTTTGCTTTAATATGAAAAATATAATTTTAAATCGCACAAATATAGATTACCATGTGTACTCTGACAAGTGATTTTTAAATTGCTCTAACATGGCTCACACTGTGTAATTTTTCTTTTTATGTTACATATATATATAAAACTATCTAGCCATACCTTTCAGTCAAAGACAATACTGGAGTATCATTAGTGCAGGATACATAAAGACCAATAGAATAAATACATGAACTAATAAATACTACAATCATAGATAGAGAATTTGCAAGAAGCCAGGGCATAACCCACATAGTTCGCCTAAATAAGAAGGGAGAAAATATTATTAAATGTTTTAAGCCAAAAACATATTTTTCAACTTAAAAGTGTGATTCATACTATTGTATTGATTTAAACTAGTGGCAAAATTTTACTCATACCAAGTAACAAACGCTTCAAACTACTTGGTACCGAATGGTTATTTTATATATTATATGTATATTATCTAAATAAAAAAAAGGAGAAATTTTGGAGTTAGAATATGATGACATTATTTCATAAAATAAATATTCTTCTTCTTCTTTCAAATCCCCATTTCTAGCCTAGCTAGACAAGGTCCATGAATTTGTTCACCTTCAAAAAGTCTAAAACAAGTAAGGGTCTTTCTATAAGGTCTTGTTTTAAAAGACCAAGGCAGTCCAGTAGATGTTCAGGGGATGCCCGGGCCGAAGAGCACTTGGTACAGAGGGCAAGACACTTTTATCCTCCAGAGTACCTCAGCGATTTCAGGTGTCCACAGCAGAGATGTGTGATGGCGGTTTGAGACTGACGGTCTTTGTCAGTTGTCAAACAGCTACCCGGTCTGGTACCAATTATGACTGGGTGGAGTCAGTCATGCTGATTTATATAATTAAACATAATAGTTCAATAATTTATTATGTAATTAAGCAGGTAATATGAGGAAGTGGGGAAATGTCTTCTATTTTAAAGTTACAATATATATATTAATCTTTTATTAATAATATAATTAAAATGAACATCAATAGTAATTGTAAAGAGCAAACTTGTTTCAAAAGAGTTAAAGAACAAAATGAAGTAGACAGATGAGTAAGTGTATTAACAGACCTTTTCAAGTGTTACACTAGACAAGTACCTGTGGTACTATCCAAGGAAACCAATCTATTAAATAAGGAATTTATTCAGAGAAAACTGTGCTTACAGGGTGGTTTTTTTTAAAATAATCAATGGGTAATGCATTAAAAAATTGCACAAATTTTAAATTGTATAAAAATGCTAACTCTTACCCAACATGGCTTTCTCCTCTTGATGCAACTAATGTACCATACCCATGATAAATTGTCATAACAGTTGCATAAGCAGAAACTCCACCATTAATGTAAATATTGACATTGCAAGGAAGAACTGATGCTGGGCTTGTTTGATCTCTTACAAACAGAAAACATGTTCCAGAATTATCAGACTAAAAAGAGAAAGAAAGATCTAGTTTTTAAGATTATACAAATTATTTTGTGTATATATATATATTTGAAAATTTTTAATAAATATTAAGTAAATAGGGTGAAATTTAACACTTCTATTAGTTATCCTAAATGATATTAAATACTGTATATATCAGTGTATAAGTCGACTTTACAAAACTCTTAAAACTTTATGAAAATTGGGGGGTTGACTTTTACATTGGTAATAAAGTTGCGTATTCGCTGATCATGAAATACCAATGTATTGTAAACAATGATATACACAGGGATATAGCTGTATTGATTNATACAGTCGAACTTGGATAATTCGAAGCTTTTCTCGTTCCATAGACACATGTATATTCAGTTAATGCTAAAAATCTTGGTTATTTCGAAGTCCAACTTCTTTAATTCGAAGTTTTTTCTCTTTCAAAAATGACAAAATCTAGTTTAAATGCAGTTATTTTTGAAAAGTATTCTGGTTATTTTCAGCTATTATGGAAATTTTTTAGAGATGACAAAGGGGAGGGAGAATAGTCTTATCTGCTCAAACAGAACAGGAATAAAGAGGAAATGGACCTAGACCTGAGAAATTACCATTACTGATGATTGGAAAATCAAGAAATCCAAGATGTTTTAAAAATGTCAAATCAAAGCCTATAGAATACCAATCTAACACAAAAGCATGGATGACGATTTTTGAAGAATGGCTACTAGATCTCAATCGCACATACCAAAGAAAAAACAGAAAAATCATCCTGTTTATTGATAACTGCACTGCTCATAAATCGATACCCACTATGAAAAATATCACGGTTGTTTTTTCCCGTCAAACATGACGTCAGTGGTGCAACCAAAGGATCAAGGCATCATTAAAAATCTGAAGTATTTTCACAGATGTCTAGTCGTTCAACATCTCCTTACTGAATCTTCCCAAAAGTGTCCCATTACTCTCCTCGATGCTTCAAGAATGTGTTTAAATGCATGGTCCAAAGTCAACCAAAAAAAAAAGCAATAGAAAATTGTTTTCAGAAGGCAGGATTCATCAGGAACAATGTCCCTAACGATCTTTTCGATGAAGAAAATTTACCTCCCCTAGTTGCATGGGAAGACAACATTCCGTTCGATGATTACGTCAGTATGGATGAAAACAGACATTTGTGGAGAGTTATCGGATACAGATATTCTATCTGAAGTTCTAAACAATAAGAATATTACAACAGAAGACGAAGAAGATGTTGAAGATGAGGTAGAAGAACAGAGGTCAATTCCAACTTCAAGTGAGGCAGTCGTTCATTTATTAGAATATCGAGGCTATGCAGAAGGAAAATCTGACGTAAGTGAAGCTGTGCTTAGAGCTATAAATATTCTTGAAGATTTTGTTAGAAAAAATCAAGTAAGCTCTTTAAAGCAATCTGATATAGCTAAATATTTTAAAAAATTGTAGCGTTTTAATTTAAAATTAATAAACAATCTTTGTTTCGCAATTTCTGTTACAAATGATTATTTTAAGACAAAAAAATAACATTTTTCGGATAATTCGAAGTTTTGCAGAGGCCCCTTGCCCTTCGAACTATCCAAGTTTGACTGTACTGTATATATCAGTGTATAAGTCGACTTTACAAAACTCTTAAAACTTTATGAAAATTGGGGGGTTGACTTTTACATTGGTAATAAAGTTGCGTATTCGCTGATCATGAAATACCAATGTATTGTAAACAATGATATACACAGGGATATAGCTGTATTGATTTACCTTTTACAAAAACAATTTTTAATATGTTGTGCAATATTAATTTTGTATTATACTCTCATTAAATTTTCTTTATACATAAAGTTCTTTTTTCAGAAAGTATACTTCATTTTCAGAAGAAAAAAAATTAAGAATAAGCTTATAAACGGCGAATAAAAGAGTTTATTCAAGAGTATTTCAAAGAATATGACGCGATAAAAACTTTTAAAAGATACCATGAAACTATAAATTTAAAGATTCCAGAACATCATTTGTGCTAGATTCAAAAATGTTAAGAATGTCATAAAATAGAACCCTCATACAGTCATATGGATTCTTTATCATCCTCATCTACTGTGTTCCATAAAAAATTTTCATATTCATCCAAAAAATTTGAAATTCCACACTTTTTAAAAGATTTTATAATAACATTATGATCTTCTCATGCTGATCAATTATAATCTTAAATAAGTAAGTTTTTAAAAAAGTTCAAAATATATTTTTTTTTTAATTTTAAAACTTAGTGATAACATTTATATTTTAATTAGTTTATTTTCATTTTCTTGCTGATTTTCTTTATATAGTAACATTTTAAAAATGTCTCAAATATTAGCAAATTAAAAATTATGTAATTGTACAGTACAGAACCCGTTATCCGGAAATCAGAAAACCGGAACGAAATTCGATAAATTTTCCCGCCATTTTTTAAACAAAATTTTTTTTTCCTTATAAGATTTTAGGATTTTTCTTTCTTTTTTGAAAGATGTTCACCTTACCATCATTTTGGAAATAATCATTAGTGTATTACTTCGTTTTTTCTTCTTTTCAAGATTATTTCCTAAAAAAAATTTTTTTTTAGTTGGGTTTAACAATAAAAAAACGGCTTTTTGTAGCGATTCAGAAAACCGGAAAAATCAGTTATCCGGAATAGTGATGGTCCCGATCGTTCCGGATAATCGGTTCCCTACTGTATTTAGTTTTTTCTTCTAATGTCCTATAAAATTTTTTCAAAAAGCATCACATTTTTATTCTATTTTTAGGACATCAAAACATTTATCGCATTAATTTTTATTTTTAGTGATCAATCTCTTTTGGTATATAAGATGAACCAGAAATTAATGTCATTTTTGTTACATTTAATTGTACAGCCAGCACAACGGACCACCTTGAATAACTTTTGATCTAACGATCGGATCTCCACGTTCTAGAACTCAATCGTACCTCAAAGGGGTAACCTCAAATATGTTAATTAATAATTGCAGTGGATATTTTAAGTTACAATGTCAGACACAAAAACATACTTTTTCAGAATAAACATACCTTTTTTAGAATGGAATCTGTTTCTGACCCCTAAAATATAGAGGTTAGCCACAATCAGGAAAATACGATCCCAATAGTCTGGTCGAAAGCTTGGTCCCTTCAATGTTAGTTTTACTTCTTGCATATTTCGCTATATCTCGAGAACTTTTTAAACAAATTGAAATTTTTTTCCACACAATTATTAAATTAGCTTATCCAATAATAATTCCATGTCATAGTCATCTTGAACATCTTACTCTGAGAGCTAGGAAACGCATTAATATCCTTCAATACATTTTGGGTTGTGATTGGGGTGCCGATGCTAGTGCCCTTAGAAATACATGTCTCTCATATTCGACCCATTTTGGAATACGGCTTTCCCATCTTTTGTGGTGCTTCACATTCAAACCTGCAGAAGCTTGAACGTGTTCAACTCAGTGCTGCAATAATCATCACGGGCCTTCACAATTCCTGCCCGAATGACATCGTACTTTATGAAATTGATCTGCAGCCTTTGAGACATAGGAGAAACGCATGTTTGGTGAAGTACTACAGTAAGCTCTCCAGTTTAGGCTCTCAGAACCGTACTTCGAAGTTTCTGGGATCATGGAGCCGTAACCAAAGACTCAAGCATGGAAGTCCCCTTGGACAGGTTGTTTCTGGCAACCTTATCGCCAGTTCTGTAAAACATTAAAATTTATCGACCCATCTGAGGGTCTGGAACGGGTTCTCTTTCATGTTGACCTTCCTGTCCGGGCTAACAAACAAACAAATCGATTTGCCGTGCTACATGAAACAGCTAACACTTGAAAGAATTAATAATGTCCCTATGGACCCTGTTCAGCTGTACACAGATGGCAGTAGACTTGATGGTGACAGATCTGGCAGTGGCATTTACATCAAACTTCGGGATCAGGAAATAAAAATCAAGAGAAAAAATCCGGACTTCTGCTCAGTATTCCGAAGCATTGAAATTCTTGACGGTCTGGACTCCATCATGTCGATTTCGCACTTTATTGAAATTAGGATCTTTTCGGATAGTAAAAGTGATATCCAGCACCTGGCTGATTGGCACAATGTCAGGGACAGTGTTGGTGCTGACATCCTCAAGAAACTAAAACATCTTTCCCTTTCTCATTCAGTGGATTCCATCACATCTTGATATAGCTGGAAATGAGATTGCTGGCAGTTTCGCCAAAGCAGGTGCTGAAGAGGCCATTACGACTTACTTATTTAAATGTTAGGCAAAGAATATGGCCATTTAGACGGTCCCGCCGGTACACTCATGGTATCAGAGTAGGTGCCCAGAGGGCTCCTTGGCTTGGGGCAGCAATAGACGAGAACAAACTGCCATTATTCGTTTCCTCAGTGGACATCTGTCATCAATGACTTATAACAATGGTAATAAACACTTCGTAATCTGCACTAAGTGTTCTGTTGCCCAGGCCTCCCCTGATCACATTTTATCTTGTCTGGGACTTAGCAGGCAGGACCTGGTTCAAGGTCCCATGCTGGTGCTAGACTTTCTTAGAGTGAACGAGCTCATGGACCTGATCTAGCTCTGCTGGTCATGGGGATGAGAACAACAACAACAAAATAATGAGAAATAAATATTTACTAATAGTTATATTATGCATAGAATTTTCTTTGGATAAACTATTTTTATATTTATGTGCAAAAATTTTTCAATTTGCTTAAAAAGCCCCAGTGACATAGCAAAATACGCAAAAAGTAAAATTAACATTAAGAGGATCAAATTAGTTAGCCATATTTGCCAGTTAGCGGCTATCCCCTATATTTTTGGGTCGAAAATCTGAATCTGTCGGGAAAAAAGGTATGTTTATTCTGAAAAAGTACGCTTTTGTGCCTGATTTTGTAACTTAAAATATTGTCTGCAATTGTTAGGTAACATATTTGAGGTCACTCCCTCAAGCCATTAAGATATTTATTTTTTCATTACTTTATTTCTTAGTCGAAAAACTTTTGAATTGTAAGATATAAAAGTTTTTACATCCTTTTAAAGAATGCAATTTTAAATGACAAAATAAAAAATTTGAACGAAATCAGTTGAGTGGCTTATGAGGAATTTAATTTTAAAAAAGCAATATTTTCAAAATTCGATTTCTCGGGTAGTGTGGGACCAATTGCTCATATTTTGTATATTGCCAGGTAAAAATACATTTTTTAAAAATTATTTTGAGAAACTTCCTACATTTTTTTTCTTATCAAAAATATACAATTGCCACTATTTAATCTAAAGTTTTCTTTTCGTAATTCTGTGATTATTTTATAGTCAAAAAACAAGGTATAAAAGTTTTTACACCCTTTTAAAAAATGCAATTTCAAATAGCAAAATAAAAAATTAGCGAAATCAGTTGAGTAATTTATGATATTTGCTCAAATTTTGCTTCCGATTTTGCTCAAATTTTGTATTTTGCCAGGTAAAAATACTTAAAAAAAGTATTTATAGAAACTTCTTACAACACTTTCTCATCAAAAATGAATAATTGCCAACATTTAAACTAGTTTTTTCTTTTTGTAATTCTGTGTAGGCTTTTTTATTATCAGTTATTATATAATGTTCGCAAAACGTAATTTAATCAAAAAATTTTTTTAATGATAAATAAACATAAAATAGATTATTTGATTGTAAATATTTTATATCTAATTTGTCACAACAAATCGTAACTATTTACGCTGTGATCGTTAATAAATTTATTATATCATGATAACTTTATTATTTTGATGTTAGCAAAATATGATTTAACAAAATCAACTTCTTTCAGCTAAAATTTGAAAATACCGGGTAAGCATCCAGTTAGGTCGCAGTTCTTCTTTAACTTACATTTCTCTATGCGTGTCTTTGTTACCAAATAATATTTGTATAATTTTAATATATAATTGTGCGTAATTAAATAAATTGTCAGCATTTTTTTTGACGTCTGAAATAAAAACAATAGACTCTTCTATATATATGATTCAGCAGACTTTTTATTTCCAACCAGTGATGATTTTGAATACACATGAATGTATTACAAGTAAAATGATATAATTTTATTGTTAATTGTCACATATACACTTAATGTAATGTTACAATTTAATTTCTAATTTCACCTAAGCCTTTAATTTTTCTTTAAACGTTATTCCTTTTTTATCTTCATTATTACAATTTTTTTATACTTTTACTGATGTTTCAAATTTGTTGCCCTTAACAATATTTTCTCACCATATAATCACTTGTTATTAATGTTGATATAAATTGTTTATTTTTTTGTGTTTATACGAACTATTACTGCTGTTTCTGTGTTTTTCTTTCCAGTGTTCTTGAAAGAGTTATGTGAACATACGAGATTTTCCGCCTGTAACAATTGTTGTTAGCTATGTACAGAAATTCATAGATGTGTACAGAAATGGGTGACTCTTTTTCCAATTTTATATCTTTTTCTACATTTACTTTTTAATGCTAAGTTTTGAATTTTTATTTTATGGTCTTAATTTTAAGACAAGTTTTTTTTAAAAAAAAAAATAAAAAATATTCGTTACTTTGAATTTTAGGCAATTTCTGTCTTCAAACTTTTCGGAACCTTTTTTGTTAAAGGAAAATTCTTATATTTTGATTTTTACTTGATATCTGTTTGAATTAAAATTTTCTTGCGACTTCGAAAATTTTATAAAACTTTCTGGTCTGTCCGGGTATTGTCACATATACACTTAATGTAATGTGACAATTTAATCTCTAATTTTACCTAAGCCTTTAATTTTTCTTTAAACGTTATTCCTTTTTTTCTTCTTCATTATAGCAATTTTTTAACTTTCTTGTTGACCTTTCTCATGGTCAATGCGGACATCGCACTTCTGGTGGGGAAAGTCAACCAACCCCTCTATTCATGCCTTTCTTTTTCTTCTTTTATTTTTAGGGGGGCTAACTTAACCAATCTTTTTCCTTTAAATTTCAAACTCTCCGCCTCTTTAAATTTAATTGGCCGTACTTTTTCTGGTCCTATACCAGTTAAGGTATTTTTAAGTGACTTTGAAGACATTCTCTTTTTGTGCTTCTTTCTTGCAAGTTCCTTTTTTTTAATTCTCCGAGATGCGGACTTCGGTCCGTATCGAGGGATTTCTTTTTTAAATTTTTTCCTGACCTTTATCTTAAATTAAATCCATAGCTGTAATCCATTTGATTTGAAAAAATACGCAGAAGTTTGGCTACAATTTATACCCTTTGAGTTGGTCCCCCCTCTGTGATGATTTTAATAGTTTTTCGTAGCTGCCATGAAGTCACCAAGATTTCTTCATCTGCTGATTCTGCTATAGATCAATATATAGAACTCTTCCCAAAATAAAAAGAGTATAAATATTTTATGAATGGCACCAATACGAAATTTGCCACAGGAACAATTTTCCATAGTTACACTTCTATCAAAAATAATGATGTTAGGTAATAAAAAATTTTTATTAGTAAACATAAATTTTTTCAAAATTTAATTTATTAGTAGGAGAAGAAAAGTTTAATTTAATTTTGTATTATTTTCAAATAAAAATAAATATAAAATTTTTTAAACACTTGCTAAAATAATTCCTGTTGATGAATAAAAATTCTTCAAAACAATCAAATAACTCAAATATTTATTTTCAAAATAAATCTCTGCGAGAAATATTTTTTGTTTCACATTCTTAGATTAACTAGAAAATGAAAGTAGATTTCCTACTGTAGTTTGAATTTCCACACAATGAACAGTATAATTTATAAAAAACAACATATGAGAATCATCACAAAACAATTAAAAATCATATATTTATCTTAATACAATAATGTTAAGCTTTATACGATGAAGTTCGTTTAGAAAACTTTAAGCTGAGCATTTTTTTAGAAAAAAATATTTTACAACTCTCATTTATATTTTGTAATTTTTTCTCCTTTCAGCATTGCCTATTTTATAGTACATAAAAATTATAAATTTATATACTTCAAAGAAAGAATATTATAATTTTGGTAAATACCTATTTTATGCTGTCAAGATATGTCAAAGTAACTTAAAATGCTGTGAAATAAAATTATAATTAAAATTAAATATGCATCCATATTTCCAACACAGAACATATTCAAAATCTAACTAAAGAAATTTTTAAATTCGTATACAGAAAAAAATAAATTGGGGAAATTTGAATCTGAGATTAAACTAGCTAATTAGATTTTATAACAATATTCGATTCATAACACGGTTAACGCCCCCCTGCGAAAAATAAAATAATTTCATTTCACTACCTTCGCAACTGCCAAGGTTGATATTTCAATAATACTGTTAATCACCACAGATCCATACAGTATAGTAGTTGCTAGTAATTGACAATGAATAGCCATGTCTTGTAAAAAACGAGCTTTTATGTAGTGAAGAGTTGAAACTAAATAAGTATTATTTATTAGTTCTTATTTCTTGCATTGCAGCTGTTCCTATCACAACCATGAGATAACGACTTGATTGGACGCTGACAGATATATTGTGAAAATGAATCATATTGTTGTTAAAATGGAGTAATAAAACAGTTTATTATCCAAACAATTATCTACTTATGGGTAGGTTTCGCTTCTCCAGAAAATTAAATACAAGAAAATCCTCTTATTATCAATCTCATCAACAACTTTGATCTGTCAATTTTGATCTTTATTGATATCAGCTTAAAGGAAGTGACAATCAGTTTTACCGGTTGGCAACGTAAACAGGGTTACCTATTTCAATGAATGGTGTTTTGTTGTTGTTATTGTTAATTTACGTCGCACTAGAGCTGCACAATGGGCTATTGGCGACGGTCTGGAAAACATCCCTGAGGATGATCCGAAGACATGCTATCACAATTTCGATCCTCTACGGAGGGGATGGCACCCCCGTTTCGGTAGCTCGACGACCTGCACGCGAAGTCGAGCACTTTACGGTAGAACAGTTTAACGAGGACTCATACTGCACACACTCGGTCCCTACACAGACTGATTCAAGTGGTCACCCACCCGCACACTGACCGTAAGCCAGTGATGCTTGACTTCGGTGATCTGCTGGGAACCGTCCGGTGTATTTTGAAACCATTTGGCTTACAACATAATGATTGTGTATTGAGACTCTTTTAAATAGTATATTCTGTATACGTGTATTTGTAACCTGATTTATTATTTGGGTTTAATAAAAGAAATGTAAAATGAACTTAAACTCGCTGCTCGAACAATAACGTATGATGGTGAACGACTTGAAAATAAATAATAAACAAGTAATAAACAAATAAAAGGAAGCTAAAATCGGGATTGAATAAAAAAAACGAGTTCTTTCTATATCTAGTAAAGATTTTTTTTTAATAATACATCTATAAGTAACTAAAACAAATTTTCACTTCAAACTCACCAGAATTACTTAATATCTTCTGAAATACAGCAGATTTGAGCTCAGAAATTATATAGTTCATTTCTTTAACTGAAAACAAAATTATCTGTCGAAAAATATCGCCTCACAGAATAAGCTGAATTAATCAACTGTATACTTTCGAACCAGAAATAAAGCAGGTCTAGAGCCCTAGACGACTTCTTTCACAATAAATTTCACAACTATCTTCAGCTCTTGACCCATTGCTTCCCTAAATATTTACCGATAATTTTCAAACTCGGTCAAATTTTAGATTAAAACATACTATACTACCATAACAAAGAAAATTATAGACAAATTAGGGGGTCGACTATGTGGCATAATATTTAAGTATGTATGCATACCAAAGTGCGTATAATAGCGTTAAAGTGGGGAAATTGTTGCTCATATACTGTATATATTGTAACCCCCTTTCAGCTTCAACCTATAAATTTCATACTCGGTCATGTATTAGATTTATAAGATAATATATTCCCACACAAAAGAAAATTGTTTTAAATATATTAAGGTGCTCAAAATGTGGCGCAGGTACAAATAAGGAAGACTGGTCTAAAATGGTTCCATTGAAAAATTCGCAGGAAAACAGGGTTAAATGAAATCAGGAAGTAGTGCCCCTACCCCCAAGCTCTTGGGCGCATTCTTGGGCAAATTCTAAATTCCCCCCCAAGCTTTAAGTGGGCGCATCGTGCGTCCACCTCCCCCCCCTGATGGGGGCCCCTGTCAGGAAGTAGCATAGTATTGCTGGTCCCGAGACGAACCCCAGGTAAGGATAAAATTTAAAAACAATATTAAATAAAAAATAATTTTTTAAATTTATTTTACAATGTTAAAACGTAAATAAAATCTTCCTTTGCTTAAAATTATTAGTTTTTCCTTTTCTAAGTGTGCAATATAATAAAAGGGTTAAAATGGTGCTTATATACTGCATATTTAAGGCCCCATAGCTCCCCTAATTATTAACCTATAAATTTTAAACTAGGTCAGGTATTATATTATTACATACTATACAATCATACCAAAGAAAGTAATTATAGACAGATTAGGGGACACAGTTACAAATTAGTGAGCATAGCCAAATATTGTTCCTTTGAAAAGTAGTGGGAAATTACTTGAAAAGCTTGTTTAAGTCGGACAACCAAGTGTGACCCGAAAGGTTAATTGATAGGAAGCAACAAATTGTTAATTATTTCTTCCTATAGTTCTTCCCAAATGCTATTTTTAAATATAGACCTTGTTCGGGGGTCGAACTCTGGACATGGTCAATATTTGAAAATTATATTTAATATAAATTATTTATTAATTTTACAATGCTGTAACTTAAATAAAATATTCTTTTACTTAAAATTTCAAATTTTTTTCCTTTTCTAAGTGCGTAATATAATAAAAGCGTTAAAATAGAGAAATTGTTGTTTGCTGTTGTGTGTTGTTTCTAATGCCACATGCCAGCAAGAATGCTTGGTGAAACCAAGCTAGTTTAAGGCAGAGGATGCGTTTCTTGGTTTTCAGTGGCGTCATCTATAGCCATGTACAATACGATATTAGTCACAAACACAAGTCACAGCTCATTTAAAAGGGCGGACTCATCACTCATACATCCATTCATTTGTCTACCACTACAAAAATATAATTCCAATTCCCTAGTATATAAGAAACGTTAACTCGATTCTATGGTGGGGTACCTTTTCATAGATGAAGGTTGACATTGTCGATATCAACTCTCCCCACATTGGTGACCTTCGTACGTGATGTGAACACGCCTACCTTGAGAGAAATTCCCACTTCGATTTGAGCACGTCTACTTCAATAGATGGTCCACATTGAACAGTTGACTTGCTACTTGCGACATTATCCACCTCCTCGCACTGTTGCTACTCAGTCTCGATCACACACAACGTCTGCCTGTGTACACTCGACTGCTAATGTCAACATAGAAGCAACCATGAGCGTGAACTTAATACAGCTCTCACTATCCGCAAAAAGTACGGTGATTTTAATACAGCTCTCCCCACTTCTCACAAAACAGCAATGAATCAACTAGTGGTATCCATTCATCGAATTCTATAACAGCTATAATTCTGGTGGGGGAGTACTGTAGTGTATCTACCTCTACAAAAATATAATTCCAATTCACTAGTATATAAGAAATGTTAATTCGATTTTACGGTGGGGCACCTTTTGATATATGAAGGTTGACATGTTCGAATCCTACTCTCCCCACACATTCAACCACAGATTATAATTTTGACCTAAACAATCAGGATTCTGAATTTGAATCTTCAATTCACAATCCTTAGATGTATTGATTTGTTATGGGAACTTGAACGATTCGACAGATTTAACAGTCACCATATACAACATGGGGTTTTTTAGTCTGCAGGGGTTGAACTCACGACCCTTTGGATAATCCTCTGAATAAACATAGCTTGTCTGCTATAGATTTTGAACTTTTACTCTTAACTCATGGTGATGGCCGCTATCTTTAAAATATGTGATAAAATATGTAAATAAAAAGTGAGCAAAATTTTCAACCCTTTAGTGATAATTCCAATTTTTGCTACCTCAGCTTAACTCTGCAAATATTTAAGCAAATCAAACAATTTTTGCTCATAATTATGAAACACATTTATTCTAAAGTATTTCACTGTAAAAATTAAATTTTTAGTACTATTTAATTTTAGTCTAAAATTTTTAAATGTCCCTTTGTAAGATTAGAATGAAATCGTAGTTTTTGAGTAAAGAAGTTTTAAAAAAGTTGCGTTAAGTTTTCATTTCTTTGATTCCGTTCACATTTTAAACCTGTCATTTTAAATTTTATTTACGAAAATGATAAAAAAAAATATGTATGACTTCAAATGTTATTATTAATTTTGTTTACCATTCTTAAATTTATAATTTAAAAACATAGTTATAAAAACTATTTATTTTCAGCCTGAAATTATAATTTGAAAAACAACTTTCATAATTGTGTGAAATTTTTTTCCCTTAAAAAGGCGAAATAAACAAAACGAAAAATTTATATTAAAGGCCTAAATGTTCAACAGCGCACCAGATTAAACTAGTGGGATTATATTATTCGCTAGTGGGATTGCGCTTACCCCTATAATATTTTAGAGTCAAGGATAGCGAATTGTTCGAAAAAATATAATGACTTTATAAGGAGAAATACGTTTTTTTTGTACGATTTTGTAACTTAAAATATTTTTCGTACTTATTTGTTTCATTTTTTATCCATTACTGAACAGCTGACCCAATTTCGAGTTTATGACTACCAATGTTCAACTCCGTTAACTAGTAATTTTGAATCCAAACCAGAAGACTCCAGGATAGAGTATTGGGAGAAATTTTGCCTTTGTTCAGAACTTTTTTGAATGAACTAACCAGTATTTGCATTGTGTGCAGAGGTAACTACGAAAACGTCCCACTTTTAGTCTGGATGCAAGGGGACTCTAGCCCATGATCCGTCGACCACTGAGGATATTTTGCATCAGCACTGTGGTCAATGCGAGCTGGGTGCGCAATTAGTATCGACCACCCATCTCTGGGATTTGAACCGGGGTACCTCGTTGGGAAGGGAGCGCTCTATCCCCCACCACGACTCGCACTTATTAGTTATCTTATTTAAAGTTGGATTTTGGAATCATGCAGATTGAATCTTAGACCAAACAGTTTTTAAATTGCTCCTTTTTTATTTTGCGCACTGTATAATCCTCTGCAGAGGATCAAAATTGTGATGGCATATCTTCGGATTATCCTCAGGGATGCTTCCCAGACCATCGCCTATAGCCCATTGTGCAGCTCTAGTGCGACGTAAATGAACTACAACAACAAGAATAAGTTATAACTAATAGTGAAGTTAGTTCTTTTTTGTAATTTTCCCCACACAATTAATAAAAATGATTCTTAATAGCAAATGGTTTCTGGTTTCAAAAAGCTTACGCTTTGAAATGACTGTTAGTTTCAAAGCGAAAGGATTAGGATTACTAAGGATTGAGATTACTAAGTTTTGACAAATCAATAGCGTTGAAAATCAGTTCTGCCCGAGAGTTAATATACAGTGAAGTTTCTGCTGAGGAGAAAAAGCTCCCATCCGTGTTAAAAATCGATTTTTATTTTTTGAACAAAAAATAATTCAACTTGAAATATTAGTGAAACTCACAAAAAGTTTAACGAGTTTATCAGTGATCACTGGAAGAAAAAGGTGATATTTCTTGTAAGCAGAACAAAGAATATTATTATAGTGGAAAAATCCTTAAAATTTAGAACGCAAATTTGCATAAAAGCAGCAAAACATTTATAGCCATTACAAATTATGTTAAACAGTTACTTTCATAATCCTAAACATCACATATAATTTATTTTTCTTCAAGGCTGTGGTTTACCCCCCCCCCTCAAAAATCAAAATTTATTAGCCTTTCAAGGTTAGTGTTTAGTCTATGAAAATAAAGACATGTTGCACACCTGCCATTTTTACTTCCCAAATAAGCTGGCAGCAATCTATCTAAAAACTCTATACTGGAATTTTAAATCGTAGTGGTAGACGGATCATGGGTTAGAGTCCCCTAGCCACCAGGCTAACAAAGAGATGTTTTCGTGGTTTTCTTCTCCATGCAACGCAAATAGTTTCATAAAAAAAGTCCTCCACGAAGGCAAATTTCTCCCAATACTTGAAGCAGGATTTTCCTTGTCTTCTGGATTGGGTTCAAAATTACAAGGCTACGGAGTTGAATATTAGTTGTCACAAACCCAAAATTGGATCGGCTGTTCAACGACGGTTATAAAATAAAATAAAATATCAGCCAACTTAACTTGATTTTAGACAATATATTTTCCATTCTGAATTTTTATATAACACTTCCTGTTGCTAAAGGGTAAATGTAGGGTATTTATTAATACGTCAAATTTTCTTAATTTGATATGAAATAAAATAAACTATCTTTTTTGCTTATACAAGTCTCAACAGTATACAGGATTTCCGTATGTATTAGTATATGTATTAGGAAATCCTCTTAAAAATGAAATTAAAAAATATACACATTAAGGGGTGGAAATTGATATTTAAGCTAGTAAAAATAACTCTATCAGAATCTTAAGAATCACTACTGAAGAAGGTGGGGCTGTAAACAATAACATTTGTCTGATGAAACTTAGATGTAAAAATTTATGTGTTACAATTTTTACCCATTTCCTCCTGCAATCAAACAAGTTTTGTTGCTTTCAATCTTCAGTAGTGATTCGTTAATCTTTTATAGCATTTTTGGTTTCTCTTTGTTACCCATATATTTTCTTCAAGGTTTCTAAAAATAATTATAAAAGGTGGTGATGACGGTACACCAAATATAAATTTTTTTCAATTTTTATATTTTTCGCTAGAAAAATATCAAGCCAGTAATCCAATAGAGCTCCAGCACATCTGAGAGAAAAGTTCAATTGGATTATTATTATTATTATTTTTTTTGCTCCATTTGTTATGTTCTAAAGAACATCTTCGCTTACAAGTAAAAGGTATGTAGAAGAAAAAATTTTATCTCACAAAAAATTTTTTTTCGTTGTTAATACATGCACAAAATACAAACTTAATCATTATTTTCATTGGGGGTCAAAATTTCAATCATTTCAATGAGGTCATCATTTCAATACTGGTCAAAATTGAAAAGATAATTTTGTAAATACCATGTAAATTACGGATTAATTATAATCCGTAATTAATTAATTATATGATTATAATAATAATTATAATTTCTTGTAAATTAATTATAAAAGCCTGTAGCTTAATTTTCAGATTATTTAAACTTTTGTAACACATAACTTTATTATTACAGGGTTAATAAAATGTTCGAAAATATCTAAAATAGGACTTAACTTTAGTCTCTACTATTAATATCACATTTTCATTCATACGAATTCATTGTTGGCAACCTTCCGCTGTTAAGACCACTTATAGCATTTCCATATCCAGTTGGGTTAGCGTGAGCTTTTAAATCCCCTTAAAATATATGGCTCAGTTGATTTCGAAACAGTCTGTAGGCGAGGAAAATTATCATGCTGATATGCACTGGTGCATAATAGGAGTTGGCGACCAAAAGATATTGTAGAATTTACAGAGGATGAAAGTAAGAAATTAAAATATAATGATAACGAAAAGAACTGATGGTCAGTCAGGTGTCTCTTTAATAGTTTCATTTAGGGGTTGACACACGGTGGAGGTATTTCTTTGAAATATTTAGAGAAAGTTAAACAATGCGATTTTACTCTACAGGATTATGAATAGTTGAGAGTTCTTCTTATTTTGAATCTTCACGTGGTATTTACCGGTACGTATAATGCATTATTACTGAAAGTAAAAGAAAGTTGAATTATTTTCGGGGGACCGGAAAGTAATGTTGCTTTAGTGCATTTGATATTTGTTATCAAGATTTTATTTTTAATTCATGATGTATTTACCTTCTTCAGCAACAACCTTTCAATGCCGGATAGGAAATGAATAGGAAAAAAATGAATTAGTTTTTTAAATAAAAGAATATTTAATTCGCCGAAACGACATTACTTTCCGGTCCCTCCAATAGTAAAATATCACTAATTTGAACTTTGGTTTTGTCACTTTTAAGATATGTTTAAGAAAAAGATCTATGCAAAATTCAGATGAACTCAATGCTTTCTTTTCTTAATTTTAAGAAATTTGTTTTGATTTTTCCAAAAATAAAATCCTAAAAATAAGAATTTTCAAAAAAATTGAAAATCTGTTTAACTAAGGAATATTTTTCTTAACAAAAAATATTTTCTATTCCATATGGTTTATTTTAACAAGAATCGGATTATGTTAGTAAAATAAAAAGGCAAGTAAAAGAGCTTTTTTCTTCTTCTTTATTCTACTGTAGATAGCACAGGATTTTTAATACTAATTCGAATTTTTCGTTTGAGATACTGAATTTGATTGTATATTGAAAGACAACAGATTAATACAACCATTTTTAAAACTTAAAAAGAATTTCGTCATTAAAAAACTCATCTTTGCTTATAGAATAAACCTTACCTTTAAAATAGAAAAACTAACTCTGTAGAGATCTAAAAGTCTCCAAAGCACTATTTTGAAAAATCTATTTAAATTCTTTCTCATGTTTATAAGCATTTTTTTTTCTGAAAAAGTGAAGCTAGTAGTATATATCAATAAAAGTCTTCAAATTAAATTTTATGTCCGACATTTGAATTTGCAGGTCTGGTATAGTATCCATCCTATGTAACAAATCAGTAATGAATTTTTTTCCGGAATATGCATAAGCGGAAAATGAACAAAATAAATTTAAACATGGGGTGCAAATGTAAAAAAACTGTCATAAATGTCGAGAATGGTTATTAAGGAGACATATTTATTAAGTTTAGTTACTTTATTTTGAATTGAAATATTCGGTGGAATATGTTCATGCAATTTTTAAAAATTTCACGTCCTTTCACACGTTTTTTCAATAGATTTAAAATTTTACTTTCTTTTTTACTGGTATTTTACTTTTATTTCATAGAAGCAACTAAAACATTAAATTAATAATGTATTATTAATTGGATTTACTTGTTCAGAAATTCATTACTGGCTAAAAAAAAGTTTTAAATCTCAGAATCCATGTGACCTTTTCATAGAATCCTTGGGTTCCGTGGAGCCAAAATGCTGCCCTGCATATATGTTTCATTCATTGCTAAAGACAAGGGGAGAAAATTGCATAATGACCCAGTTAATGCACATCTCAATTTCTAATAAGCAATTTTGTAAATATAATTCAAGAACTAATCTATAAGAACAAATATGAAGTTTTAATAAATTTTCTATTTAGAGAAAAAAAAAACTTAGGCTATATATAGCAGAGATCTTAATATATCTTTGTTTTTAGTAGAAGGCGCTCTTAGATCATTGACTTCAGTGTATCGTAAATCTTTCAGCACTTTTTCTTGTCATTCTGTAAAACATTCAAAATTAGCTAACATTGAAGATAAAATATCTTTTTATTGTTATGTCACTATGCATTCATAAAAATATACATATTAGTTAGTTCAAATTTTTATTACATTTAGTTTTTATTTTCCAGTTATATTCTAAGTGTAAATTGCATAAGAAAAGTATTTTGCAAAAAATGTGAGAGCATTGTTGAAAAACTTAAATCAGCTATGTTCTGAATTCAAATAGTGGGGGAGTATCCAAAAGAGAAAAAATTGTTCCATATAAATAAATTTCTGCAAATTGAAATATAATCTGTCGTTGTGAGAGCATTGTTGAAAAACTTAATCAGCTGTGCTCTGAATTCAAATAGTGGGCGAGTATCCAAAAGAGAAAAAATTGTTCCATATAAATAAATTTCTGCAAATTGAAATATAATCTGTCGTTGTGAGAGCATTGTTGAAAAACTTAATCAGCTGTGCTCTGAATTCAAATAGTGGGCGAGTATCCAAAAGAGAAAAAATTGTTCCATATAAAT